ACTTAATTTCTTTGAAGAATTATCTTGCTGATTGAAGAATAGGAGATCTAGTTTTTGTAGCACTTTGTAGGAACTGAACTTCAGGACAACAAAGGAGTTGCATATGAGTTTGTGAAGGAGAAAATAGAGTGGAATTAGTCCTTTTTTTTTCTTTAAACCTGGAGACATAAGATGCCATTGAGATTTCAAGCAGTTGTGAAGACCAGGTAAAGATGATTAGAAAATGTGAAAGCTGAAGCAAGCAAGAGCAGGGTAAAGCAAGGCTGCTCATTTTTAAACTAATGACTAGCAGCTTATGACAAGGAAGATGCAAGGGTGTGGGACACAGGAGAGATGACAATGGAGCTCAGAGTGGCATTTGAAAGCATGATATAGGATAGAGGAGGAGAAATCAAATGGCCAGTTACAGTATTGTAAACCTTGCCTGGTAACAGACTACAATGTGGAGGTCCAAACAAGTAGTTAGTCAGGAAAATAAATCAGAAATAATCAGTCATTAAGAGAGGGAGAGAAAATTGGAGATTAGACAGCTTGCACTGGGAAACATAGAGAAGACTGTGGCAGGAAAAGCAGTGGAAGTCTGGAACTAGTATCATAATAAAGATCATAGTGGGTATACTACAAAAAAGAAAATACAGAATGATTTGCAAGTAAAATAAAAATGTCAGTATCTGGAAATTTACATCAGTATCAAGAGGAGGCATGTGTATATGGAAGAGCACTAGATGAGAACAGTATCACAGTGGTGAGGATAGAATCTTTAGGTAACTGTATAGATGGTAATTTTAGAAAGGATCTAAGAACAGTGAAATCCTAGGAGAAGGTTGTTAAAGCAAGAAACTGTATACAAATGGTGCATTTTTCAGAATCTAGACATAAAGTGAGAATTGCCCGGCATCAACCTGACATGTACAAAATCAGATTAACAAACAGCTGATACCATCTAGGGAAAACTTAAGAGTTTTTCAACTGTATAAACAAAAAGCAGAGATGAAAAGTTGCGGTGGAGTAAGAAATGGATACTAGTCAAAGATTATTTTAGACGTGTCACTAAAATTGAAAACAAACACACATGATAATTTGATCTAGTTTTCAGGATGGGTAATGGGGGGTAAAAGGCACTATGTTTAACAGTAATGAGGCATAGAAATTAAATCGATTTCCAAAGAAAAACAAAACTCCTTGGTGTATTCAGCTTTGGGACATATCAAGCTCTCAGCAATGATTCTAGCACTTGGAAGTTTGAATGTTGAGCATATGTATTAAGTCAGGGTGATTCTGCTTGATTGGAGGATAACATATATGTTAGAGCAGATTGCTTCTCTATGCTCCTCAGAGAAACTGGCTTGCCTTGTCTGCCTTAAAATTTGTCTGGATTTATTTCCTCCATACTGGACACTGATAACCTGCTGAAGGTGGAACACAGCTTTGTCCTCTATAATAGTTTCACACCTTGTAAACAGTACCTCCTTGATTCTTTCATTCCACACTTTCTGGGATATCAGGTTCCTAGGCATTTTATGCTGTGTGTTACTTGCAGGTATTATTTAGATAAGTCTTTTTGGATTTTCAGTAGTGTTCTCCACTTTTAACACTAGTTTTACTCATCTTTTCATTTTCAATTGAAGTGGCAAATGTTATTTTTACATTGTTTTTTGTCTGTCCAACCAAATGTGTGGAAAGGAAAAGACACTGTTTCATTAAATCCAAGCATCTCAATATAGTAATTAACATAGCTGTACAGCTCCGACAGTAGGAAACAAACTGCCACACACTGTTGAAAAACCTTAATAAATTAATTTATTCTGCTTGTCCTAGTTCACCTTCTTCTACAAATAGATGTAATAACAGAATTACATATTTTTATGCAATTCTTCAAGGTATAGGAGCTTTCAGATCAGTATTTTGATTCAACCCATTTGTGATTCAGTTTTCATTTTCTCTTCCAGGTGTGGTACAATCAAAAAGGCTTCCATTCACTGCCATCTTACTTAAATGAACTTAATAACTTCATTCTATGGCTGAATTTGCCTCCTAATGTGGATTGGAGGCAGTATGGTAATAGTCCTTCTTTAAGTATTTTTTCATATCTTTTGAAAATTAGTTTTAAAATAAATTAAAATAATTTTGAGGACTACATTTTTTCATAGTATAAAGTAGGATTGCAGATTCACATTTTTCTTGGTAGAAGCTGAAAGTGGAACTTTTAATTAAACAGAAGATTTATTTGTGTAAAAAATGTAGTATATAATAAAGTAAAATGTGAATTACAGCTCTTTATGCAATATGAGATTCTTACAAAGGACATTCCTGTGGAGTAAGTGTAAATTGGTTCACCATACTTGGGATGCTAGTCCACGTGAAACCACTGCTCAAGCTTGCTTAAATGAGATCAAAGCACAACAGGGTATGAATTTGTAACTTCTTGGTCACTTTATCTCCTTATGTAAATACCGAGGGTACCCTGGAAATTCACACTTCAACATGATGTTCCATAGTATCCTGATACTCAAGGAACAGGACAGGCTGGTATATCTTCTGTACATACCAGAAGAGAGTTTAGTGTATTCGAAATCTGAATTATCTGATTCAGATAACCCTGAACTGTATATGAATGAGTTGAAGTGAAATATTCAAACTGACTTTTAAAAAAATTACTGCAGCCAAGTAATCTGCTGTTCCCACAGGTGAAATTTGAGGATGTTTTAATCTAGTTTGAAATCTGGGCTTGATGGTTCAAGCTAACTTCTGTTCACTCCAGGTCCTTTCATTTCCTAAGTTTCATTAAAGGGGAATTAGTTTGTTTTAGAGGAATTTAAAAATAGCTTTTAACCAATGTTAAAAGCATTTTTTAAATGGTAGGATGATTGTCTGTAATGGTAAGAGTATTTTCAGTGTTTATAATGGAGAAGGAAGAAAAAAGATGAAAATCAGTGAAAAGGGGAAGGAATCCTGATTATCTGGATACAAAAAATTAAGAGAAGTTTCCAGAATGTCAATGAAAAAAGAATAATGGCTTGTTTTCAAGATGGCTGAGGGGTTTTTTTTATCTAAATGAATTAGGAGAAAGAATCAAAGGTAATGTGTTTCTGCAGGAAGTTTGAATGAAATTAAATCAGGCATTTTAATAAGAATTTTTAATAGAAATTGATTTTAAATTATTTCCCTGCACTTCATGAATAGTACTGATGCTAACTTGTTTTCTGTAGCATTAGATATCCCATTCTGGAACTTAAATGTTTCACTACCCTTACTTTTAAGTCTGTCATGGAGACTTGGGGATTTACCATCCAAATTACAGTAAGAGAAAATTATAGTTGTCCCAACAATTCTGGAAATGTTATATGTTATGTTGTGGCATGACAGAAACACAATACGCAAAACAGTTTTCAATAAATATTTGAAGTCTTGTACTGTCACCTGTACAACTACGGGCTCTCTACATAATCTTCTAGCAGAATATGCTGGCCAAGTCTCTGCAGAAGTAGAGTTTATGGACTAGAAAGCAGTTTGTTTGTGTGTACACCTATTGGAGAGGTGCAATAAAGATGGATTGATCATCCTCTTGAGACATAATGCAGAGCAACCTGTCAGAGAAATCCTAGAAAGAGAAGTCATGTCACCTACCTATCTGTATGTATCTGTACACACACATACATACGTGTATATATGCATATGTATATCTATATTTCAAAAAACCTCAAGTTTTCTGATGCTATCATGAGGCACTCTAGCTTATTTCACTTTGTCTTTTAACTATCTCTTTTTTAGGGATACTGCTCTGATGGAGAAGAATTATTTATATGCTTTTCTTTTTAAGATGATCATATGCAGTCCTGTAAATTAGCTGTCTGGAGATTACATATGGTGTTTTAACAACAATTGTTTTTGTTGTTGTTTTTTTTTGCAAACTCTGTTTTATATACAAGATCACTTCTGAAATATTATTGGAAGTTGCTTTGAGGAAGCTTGCTAGGATATTGTAGAAATGCAGCTTTGTAATTCTGACTTGCATTACTGCCATGTTTTTTGTTTGTTGTTTTGTTTTTTTTTCCAAATGACACCTTTTTCCTGTCAACAGGACTAGAGCTTTTGTCTTACTTTTAGGTAGTATAAAAATAATTTGACCCTTGAAAAGGGAGCGTGAGAATACAGTCTTTCCTTTCTTCACAAAAAAATAAATTTTGCTTTACTGCAAGAGATGCACTTCAATTGAGTAGAACTTTATCATGGATAGAAGCAGAGTAGCAACTATTGTAATGAAAAGGCCTTGAAGGAGGTCAACAGCTTATTTAAATGCTCACAAATACTGAGGAACCCTTTAAATTAGCAGTAATATCCTGTGGTTATTTCTTGAGCATGAACCCTGTAGGAGGTCTCTCAAATTCTCTGGAGGAGGCAAGAGTCCTTACAGGCAGTGTGCCTAGTTCTGCCTGCTTTGCTCACAGGGACAGACGTATTCACTTTCATAGGACATCAATAGTACTGGTCCCAGTTTGTGATGCGTTTTAGTGATAAGGAGCTGAGAAGGAGGCTAAATAAATCACATACAGAATCACAGAATCTTAGGGGTTAGAAGGGACCTCGAAAGATCACCCAGTCCAATCCCCCTGCCAGAGCAGGGTCACCCAGAGTACATCACACAGGAACGTGTCCAGGTGGGTTTTGAATGTCTCCAGTGAAGGAGACTCCACATCCTCTCTGGGCAGCCTGTTCCAGTGCTCTGTCACTCTCACAGGAAAGAAGATTTTTCTGATATTTACATGGAACCTCCTATGCTCCAGTTTGCACCCATTGCCCCTTGTCCTACAACTGGACATCACTGAAAAAAGCCTGACTCTGTCCTCCTGACACTCACCCTTAACATATTTGTAAACAACGATGAGGTTGCCCCTCAGTCTCCTCCAAGCTCAAGAGACCCAGCTCCCTCAGCCTTTCCTTATCAGGGAGATGTTCCACTTCCTTAATCTTTGTGGCTCTGCCCTGGACTCTTTCAAGCAGTTCCCTGTCCTTCTGGAACTGAGGAGCCCAAAACTGCACACAATACTCCAGCTGTGGACTCACCAGGCCAGAGCAACAGAAGTTAACCAGATTGATTTCTGTCAGTTTATCATAGTTAATGGATCCAATATCTATTTTTGAACAGCAGTTCAGGAATACTTGTATAAAAATAGCTCATATCTGTCCCATGTGGATAGCTACCTCTACCTTCATAGTGGTATAAGTCTGTGATTCTGTTTTATCAGTTGAATAAATCAAACTCATCTGTCTTACTGGAAAGAAATCCAAGTATATTTTGTTTTCTAGTGGGTTATAAGTTCAGTGACAGGTAATTAAAATGAACATGTTAAAAAATATAAGAGAACATAAGGTGTGCTGGGCTTTTGTGAAAACTAAAACTCTGGCTGGTCTTCTAGTTTATGCAAATGATGTTCATATGTTTTAAAATCTCTTTTTGAGATGTTATATTCTTACAATTATTTTATGTGTCTGTGAGCAAATAAAATATCAAATAATGAGAAATTAAAACCTAAAAGGCAAAATTTTTTTGCTTCAGCTTAAGATAAAAATTCTGATTAGGTAAATGTTATACTTCACAGCTAATTGTATACAGTTGAGTCAGAATGTCTTATCATCCTGGAATATAGTGGAAGGACTATTACCTGCCTCTTAGTGTAAGGCTATATAAAGAAAAAAGGAGTGGTAGTCATCGATAAAAATGACTGTAAAATACAGTGGTCAAAAGAAGTTACATTATTACTCAAAAAACAGAAATGTATCAATATAGAGAGGCCTTGTGTGATGCAGCTTCCCCATCTCAAGACTTCAAGTAATTGATTTTTTAAAAACCTTTCATGCTAGGGCTCATTGTAAGCATTCATAGAGCATCCTTATTTATTTCAGATTTTTTCTTAAGAAGAGCTGAAGGGATTGAGACCAATTTTCAGCTGAATTTCAGTGGAAAGTGACTTTATACTCTCCTGATTGCTTTGCAAATGCTAACTTTAAGCCTCTTGTCAAAGGAAATGGTGAAATGGCATTTAATAGGAACCTTCTTAACCATATCTTGTTTTTTGGGGGAAAGTAAAATATATCATTATAGTAAAAAATTTATCAAATGCAAAAGACCCTCATGCTCCAGACTAATTGAAGAATTTAAAATAACAAACAAAAGGCAAGAATGATATTTAATATATTGATAAAAATTTTAATTCTAATATAGAACTGAACTTTGCTTAACACAGTCATACTTTGGTTAATTCTAATTCAGCAGCTGTGGGAAATGTAATCTCAGCTGTGTGTGTAAATTTTCAAAAATGCAATCCTGCGTTTCATGTACGTAGTATGAATGAAAATTGACTGTAGAAATTTGTTATTTTTAAGAAGAGAAATTACTTTTTGGTACTCTTCCATTGAAGGAAATTAATTCAGTGCAATTTGCTTTTTGATCAATATTGTATGATACAAGACTGCAAGGAGCATTATGTTATTTAATGTAATGAGATTTTTATTTCTCCTATCAATTAATTTTTTTTTCACAGTCTGTGTTTTTTCAGTACTAGGGAGTTATAGTGAGTGGTGTATTTCTGTTTATGGAACCCAACTCAACTGATGTAGTCTTGTTAAATAGCAATGAAGTGCCCTGAAAGTTCAGTTAGTTTTCTTTTGGGATCTGTGCACTTAGTAAGGACAGGCCATGAACATTTCAGGAGAGAGATAATTTCCAGACTCATTAAATATTCCTGAGCAGAAGTTATTTATTGTAAAATATTTGATGTGATTGTTGGTCTCTGTTACATTTTGCATATTTCATTAAGTCCCTGTGGGTTTTTTTTTTAAAAAAAAGTTTTAGCAGTGCAGATGATCATCTATAAAATTCATTTACTATGTTCTCAAAACTTATGTAAAAGTGGGCAAGTCTGTGTTTATGAGCATGAATTCACTTGCACAGGAAATTTCACGAGGATTAATTTATAGCTCTGGTTTTGCTAGTGCATATTTTTCTTACTGAATACCATAGATAGTTGACAGAAGTACAGCAAAGGGATACAATTTAGATCAGCCTGGATTAATTCATGGTACATAGCAGAGATCCCACCTTAATTCCTGGCAAATTGCCCCTGTTCTGGATACTTTAAAGGCAATAAGTCCCTACCACAGTCCACCTGACAGGTTTACCTGTCTCACAATTCTGGGAAAAGGCATGTGAATCAATAGGACCTATGGGTCTCTCAAGTCTTGGCATTTCATGATCATGGGCAGTATTTTAAAATTTTCAGCCTCTATAAATTCTACTCCTTGAGCTGGAGCAATTTTACTGTAGGATTTTACTCATCTGAAGCTCGAGGGAGGACAGTTTTGTTAGAACATTCAAAGTCTTGATCATGAAGTCAAAACCAGAACTTGGCTCATGGCTGTAAAAGAGGAGATTTGAAAGATTTATCTTTGCTCTTTGCCAATCTAGCTGAGCTCTAGTGAGTACAAGAAGCCAATTCCATGTTGTTAACTTCTTATTTTAGTGCTTCTGAAATGATCAGGATTCCTACTTCCCAAAAGCTTTCCTCCACTGTAATTAGATTAAGTCTGAAAATCAGATTTTTTTACTTTTTTTTTTTTTCAAATCCAATCTTAAAAGCAGTTCAGATTGATTTCAATTTACGTGTACAGGAAAAATCTGTTTTGCTTCCATTTTTAGCTACTAATTTCTAACTCAAAAGGAATTTTATATATATATATATATATATACACACATATATGAAAATAAAACATTCTTGTTTCTGACATCCACACCTTTATTCAACCTTTGAAAAAGCTTAGAAAAAATTTATGGGAATGAAACTTTTATCTGTCATGCTACTTTTCCTTGACATGAATAGAATTTTGGCTAAGACTTGGTTCCACTGGGAAAATACAGTTTTCTTTGATATGCCTATTTTGGGTTCAGAACAAATAGCAGCTATTGTTTAAAAAATTAATGGTGAAAAAAAGAAGAACAAAAGAAAACTTTAAACAGTCCCTCTAGGCAAATGACATGAAAGACTTCTGCAAATAACCTTATCAGCTTGAATCTTCTTTTGATTTGTTAACTACTATTGGGCTTCAGTGCACAGCTTTTAACTGCATTTGAAAAATCTTTACCTTCTGATAGTTTTATGTGTGAGTCATCATCCTCTCTTGTACAGTTTTACCCCGCATAGTGACTTAGATGTTCAGGTTACTTTGGCCTGAAGTTGAGGAATGAAAAATTAAAGGGGCAAAAAACCCCCGTGTAGATGTATTCAGTCAGATTGCAGTGTTACAGGAACAAAGACAATTTCTATCTTCATACATCTGGTCTCTAACAAAATATAATGAAGTGTGTTCAATTAAGTTGTAACTCGTGGAGTCCAGCTAAGGCAAACAATGATTTATTTCTTTGCTAAAGATCTGAGAAGTTTTATAATAGCTGTTAGGATGAATTTATTTTACTTCTTTTTAAATTGGGAACAGCATAGCTTTATATCAGTACTCTAATGAGATGGTCCTGGTTTAATCTCACTGCAGGTATTTCCAGGTGGCATTATATTACAGCTGGCACACCTGTTCACATGCAGAAATAATCCAGGAACAGCATCAAGACCAGTTGGACAGTTGCACTGACAAATTTTTGCACATGCATACATACCCACCCCTTTTTCTTCTTTTCCTTGAAAGAAAAAAAGTAAAAAAAAGACAGATCTTGTTTTCATAAACTACCTTCTGATTCCAAAGTTCATTTTGCTAGGTTGTTACAGGTTGGTTGTACCAAGAACCATAATAAGTTGTAAAACACATTGCCTACTCAGGAGTGTTCCTGGTCTCCCAAACTAGGTATCTTTTTAATTTAATGCTCTTCAGTTTCCATCTTAAGTGTGTGTTGGTTTGGGTTTTGTTTGTTTGGGTGTTTTTTTTTTCTTTGGTTGGTTGGTTGGTTTGGGTTGGGTTTTTTGTTTTTTTTTTTTTTGTTTGTTTGGTTTAGGTTTCTTTTTTTGTTTCTTTTTTTGTGTGTGTGTGAATTTGACTAAACAGTTTTTCTCTGCAAAATATCAGCAATCCAAAAGTATTTTTAAAAGTTATAAAATACCAATTATATATATTTCAATAATGACCTACCTTACTCAGTAAGATTAGGTATATGAACAAATTCTATTTAATCTATGTGTGTAATTAATTCTATTAATTAGATTTTTATGGATCCAGCCTGGAAATCACTCAACAGGTGCCAGTATTTGGTTTGACAGCTTCATGGTTGACCTCTTGCTATTCCTTATTAAGGATTTAGCCTTTCCTTTTGTCTTGTGTAATAAGTCAAGAGTGTAGTCTAGAACTTGTAGCCCTGATATAGCATTTACTATTTAATAATTTATTTTTCTTTTCACAGGGATCACACTCTACAGCCAACCATATGGAGGAGCCTTGCTGGATGAGGACAAAATGTGACTAAACTTTTTCAAATATATAATAGCTGCAATGTGCAGGCAATTGAAATTATTAATTCAATAAGCATGTATGTTGCATGCAATAGATGTGACTTCACAGATGCAGTTCAGTTCCACTGAGTATAGTGTTTTATCTAGGCTGGTGTTTGCATCTCAAGCCTGCTGTTTACATCAGATATGGTTGTCTTATTTTGCAGGGAAGAACTCTGAATTTATGCTGACTACACTTTTCAGACTGTTTTGAACAGGTCATGACATTGTCAAACACATAAACTTTTTTTATGATTGTCAGGTTTTTAAATTTTAATTTTCTGTAGAGGGGGAAACATATAAAAAATCTTCTCTTTACTGTTTGGACTTTCTGCTCTGTAACTGAAGTATAGTTTTGTAACTTAACACATCATCTTGCTCCTCTAGTTACATGTTGGCAGTATACAAACAGTGTTTGCAAACAGGATTAAGATCCTCATGTTTAGTGTTGCTTTGATAAGAAGTTGGCCTTGAAAATGTTGGGGTTTGGTGAGGGTTTTTTCCCCATTGTGTTTTCATTATGCCATTTTTCTTTGTACCCTAGAATGGAGAATGTTCGTCAGTGTGGGGTAGCACTGTGTGTCATGTTGGGCTTCTCCATCCTTACGGCATCTGTTGGAAGTGCTATAGTGAAGGACAGAGTATCTGGCAGAAAACGTTTGCAGCACATCACAGGCCTGGGTTACAAAACTTACTGGCTTGCTAACTTCTGCTATGATATGGTACGTATCATGTGGGGCAGCATGTGCTTAGGTGTGAATTTAACTAGGAGATTTGTACTGTGCAGAGCTACAGATCTCAGCTGTCATTTTAACAAGCAATTGGACACAATTCCTACTTTAATATGTCAGATAAAAATCTTTAAGGCTGGAATAGTGTTCTTCATTTTACAAAGCTGAATATTAAGGTAGAATGTATGCTAACGTTAGGTTCCTACACTATTTTTCAAATCAAAGGATGCTATTTAATCAACCTAGACAGAGAGAATCTTTCACACAAAAGTTCATAGCAGGAATTTCTGTGGTTTGAGTTGCCACTGGCAAAATCTTTCAGATTATTGGAGAAGCCTGAAGATAGTAGTGAGCTAATTTAAAGGCATGATCATGTTGTTTGTTGGTGTTTAATATGAGAGGTACTCATAACTGGTACCTTCTGGCAAGATAGACAGTACAAAATATTATTCATGACTTCACATACACAGAATGTCCTTCATCAGAAATGGGTGAAGTCTCTGTCCTGAATTTATTTTTTCACTCAAAATATTTTCTACCATTGTTAGCATTATAGATAGTGTTGTCTGCATGAAGTTCATTAGCAAATCTCAAAATCTTATGTTCTTTTGAAAGTACTGCAAAAGTTACTAGTTTTCTCTAAATCTTATGCTTTTAATCACATGGGAAAACAGGAATGTCACTGACGTGCAGGTCAGCTTTAAGCCAATATAGTTAAATGAAATAAGAATTTTTATTTGCCTTCTGCAAACGTAAGAAGTTGTTTTCTCTTCAGGCCAATAAGCAAATGTGGTGAAATAAAATTAACTTTCTCAAGTCACTGCTGGTCCCCATCACTGATTTTTCATCAGCTGTGTAATGGAGCTTGTTTGGATTCCATTTAAGCATGAATTCCTCAAATTATCTTCTAATATCTTTTTCAAGGTGACTCCCTAAAAACTAAAATGAAAAATCACTACATTATATATGTGTGTATATATATATATCTGTGTGTATCTATGCGTGTATTTATATGTAAGGCATACATATACCTCCCTTACTGAAAGGTTTTTCTATAATTCATTTATTGTGAGGCCTGCTTTGGTATTACTTGAGTGTTTGGATGGGAAGTTAAGATTAGGTCTGCTTCTGGGAAAGGGATAGAATTACTGGTTTTAAATAACCTGGGTGCTGTGTGCTGGTAGTTCACACCTCAAAGAAGATCTTTTGGATTGGGAGATTGGTTTCAGAGGCAATAGTGAACAACAGGGGTCACTTGGATTTTTCAAAAGTAAAGGATTGCTGGTTGCAGAGAAGGGACTCAAACTTCCTGCACTTTGCTCAACACACTGGATCATGGAAGGAAGAGCTGGGATCTAGCATAGTCAACACAAACGTGAACTAGCCTGGTCAGGAACAGAGATTTTTGGAACACTCTCTATTCTCATTCAGACTATTCTAAATCTGAAACACTAGACTTCACCCATCCATGCTTGAAATCAGGATTTTCACACTTGAGCAAACTGGAAGTAAAAGCACATTTCTCCAAATGTTACTTACTTGACCAGCCAATCTTTGTACTCTTTTTGGTGGTATGTCAGATAAGAGGTCTTGGTCAAGAGCTCAGTTCTTTGTCATTCAGTTTCTCCTTGTGCAGCAAAGTCAACTCCTCATTATTTTCTGCCATGTCTTCCTTTGAAAGTGTTCTCACAAATTCAGCATGGTACTGCATGATCAATCATGATCTGAGAAAGAACAGACACTGCTTTAAATGCTAATTGTGTTGCAGATCATTTAGGGACACTAAACATATGAATATATGAACTGTCAAATTTAAAATCCCTCTACATATTTTAAGTATTAGAGACTGTGTTCTGTATTATTGGTAGCATAATCTTTATTAGACCTGCAGAGTTATTTGATTTATGAAATTGCTGTCATAAGAATCAGGTTGCTCCTACTATATTGATATATGTGAATGTTCAACAAATGGAAAATGTGTCAGTACTAAGAAAATTTCATAACAAATATAGATTTTTTTTTTCAGATTAAGTTTCTGTCATTAGATTGGCAAAACCAGGGTTCTTTTATTTGTGCATGCCAATCTTCTGTAACACATCATGGTTTCAATTAAGATTTCTAATATAATTTAATGTTTAAACTAATTTATTTATCGAAAAAAAGTCCCATGTCTGCTGAAATATACTGAGACTCTGATGCCGTGTGACTTATCTACTGTATTGCTTAGCTCCAGGAGAGCTGAAATCTAAATTTATGGAGTGGTATGGTATATGGCACTGGAAAGGTACACTGTGAACAAGATGGCAGTATTACATCTGTCTACATTTCATTTCTTCTCTTTAAAAAAAAAGTCTGTCTTTCTATTGACAAAGACGTGACACCATCTAGCTTTATTTTGAACAGGTTTGCATTGTACTTCTATTTTTTAATTATTTTTTTAAAAAATTAACAGTGAGGATGTCATTCTTCTGCACAGAATACTTAGTTAGATCTTGATTTTTTTCATCTATTGCAGTTTCATCTCAGAATCTCAGTTATATTAGGATAGGGTTCAATATGTAGAAGCAGAAATGGAGGCAACCACTGTGCTAAGCTCAGCTTCAATGTACAGAGCAGTCAGACACTGAGAATGGAATGGAAGTGAGCAAATCTTGCCATTGCTCATTGCAAGCAGAGCCCATCTCTCTTGAATACTTGAATATGAATCCCCTGTACCAATCACATCCTCTCCCCTTTAAGTATTTGGTTAACATTATGTCAAGAAACTAAACAGAGAAACTGTTTTCCCTGATGCCTAATGGATGTAACTCTTCTAAATATTCTGTCTGTTCCCATTAAGAGTTGTCATTTATTTAATCAGCTCACATGGTCCTTCATTAAGACTCTTTTAAAATTGTATTCTTACTGTTCTCCTATGACTGAAGCACTGATCAGTGAAACTGCTATTTCTGAATCCAAGACTCTGCCTTCACAGTAAAATTTGATGTTTTGGAGCAGTAGTCCCATGTGGACTAATTAGCTGGAAGAGTTATCTTGTTAAATGGATGTATTGGAAAGGTCAGCAGAAATGGAATTAAGGGGAATATTCTTTAGTCAGATTTTATTTTGTTAGGCTGTTTTATGTGAGTATGTGTAAGAGGGGTAGTTTCACAGCAGATGTGGATTATGAAATCTCAGAGCTCTTCTGCCTAATTCTTCCTAATTTATAGTGTAATTATATTGCAAATATGGAAAAGTTAATTTGTAGAGCGCTTTTGTGATAATTAAGTAAGACCAGTAAGAGATGCTTACCTGCTCAGTGCCTTTTCTCTTTTCTTTCTAGCTGTTTTACATGATTCCAGTCACCCTGTGTGTTGGTGTTATTAGTGCCTTCCAGCTATCAGCCTTCACTTTCCGAAAAAACTTGGCAGCCACTGGTCTCCTGCTGATACTTTTTGGGTATGTGATTGGAAATGCTACTATGGAATTATAGCTTGTAAGAAACAAAACAGAAATCTTTAGGCTTGGTTTGCACCTGCTGCTGGATGCATGATTTTCTCTCTTTGGAAATGATTATGATTCAGCAAAAGATAGTGAGAAAACAGGTTGAAACACGAGTTTGAAAGTTCCTTGCAGAAGGTGGAGGCAGATCTGTTCGCACATTAAAAAAAGCCACCCACCACCAGATAGAAAACAACAAACAACAGAAAAACTAACACAACCAAATCCAAATTGGAAAAGTCTCAGAAAACTCTCAGCCTGTGTAACAATCATTTGCTTATAGAAACTGATTATGTGTTATCTTCTAGAAAATGAGGGAATCATAAAAGTCAGGTCAGAATTTCAGTGCTTAGCTCTGCAGAATATAATGAAGAAGGTAAGAACTGGTTGTCTTTTATTACAGTTCTGCCCATTTTCTCTAATTCTGTAATTGTACATTGTTCGAAGAATTTATATTTCCAATGAGAAGTCTGTTCAACATGGAGTACTGGGCTGGTTGGAGATTTGTCTTCAAATAGTACTGTGAGAGAGGAAAGTCCTCCCATATCACCTTCTTGCTTAGTTTCCTGTGAAAAAAGTTATAAAAAGTTAAAATAACTGGTTAAACAGAGGACTGATTTCTCTGTAGCAATAGAGCTGTTGAGCCCTGGACTCAATCAAACTAATGATCCATCTAATTCTGTTCTTTTAACTCTTCCTATGTGCAGTCCCAGGTAATGTGAGAAATGCTGAAGATGAATAGTTACAGGATAATGTTCTGAGAAGATATTTCTTCCTTATCTCAAGCAACTAATTGTTGTTAACTTTGCAGAGAATAATGCATGTCTTAAAAGATAGATGTTTATATAATGAAATACAACCGCTCCATTAGAGAATCACAGGGAAGGAAAGTAGAAAGGTCTTTCTGCAAGATCAGGATGTATTCCATTCCAGGAAAAAGTCTCAGATAAAGACTTAAAAAAAAAACCAAACCCAAAAGCTTGTATTTCATCTTGAAACTGTTTTCAAGCTCTCATGCCACCAATAATACTGCTTTTGGAAAACTCTTTCAGTATCTCCATAGTGGACGTATTCTTTGAAATTCCAGTCTAATTTTGGAGCCTTATTTGGAGCCATACCTGTAATATGCCCTCATTAAACAGCTTTTTTTTGAGCCCAAACAAGTTAAGTCCTCTCCAGCAAAAAGGCCCTCCCATTCCCTGGGTAATTCTATTTATTACTTTTCCCTCCAATTTAAGCTCATGGTGGGCGTGAGTGGCCAGACTGGTAGGTAATATTCTAGAGGTCATGACACCCATCATCTTGTAAACAACTTGGATAACACATCTACAGTTTACACTTTTATTCTCTTTGTGTCACTCTTGTCTTCCTTCCCCTTCCTTCGGCACTACTACCAATTAATTCTTGCAAGTTAAAGGCAGAAATTCTTATCAGCCTTAGTGCAAAGACTTTACACTGCTAAATCTTACCCCTGTTCTTTTTTGTTACCTTTACAACTGTTGAAACCTTCTTGTAATCCAGTTGCTGTGACCCTGGTGTAAAAATAAGCATCTATAGACATTTCAGTCAAGCAGCAGATGAACCATACAGAACATGCTTGTATGCCTGCTGAAGTTATGATATGTGGTGTGCTGTAGGCTATGGTCTTGCCCACAGTACACTACTAAATCCCATGTGCTAAGTTATGCAGGCATTGTTGTAAAATGTTGTGTTAAAATTTGGGTATTCCAGAAGAAATAAGCATTGTCTGAAAAGCTGGACTGAATTAAAATTATTTTTTTTGTTGCCTGCAGATGCAGCTTAATCATCTCAGCATAATCCCTTTTGCACTGTTCAGCTTTGGCTGATGTAACAGATACTATAGTGATTTTTATCAAGAAGGTCTATGTATTCTATGTGTATTAACATGTATTAAAGACACAAAAACTGTCAGTCAGTAAGTTTAATGTGTCTCAAGGACCCTCTGATGAATTTCAGATTTGCCACTCTTTCTATTCCACCCTTTGCTCAGTCTAACTACTCTACAATTGTGATGAAGCCTATTGTGGTAATTTTATCTTTTCCCAGTACTATGCTTGTAATTCGCATTTAAATGCATTTCAGAATGCATTTTTTCCTTTAAAAATTTTATTTTTCTTTTCAGGGCACACTTACATAGTATTTCTGATCTAGAATAAAGGTAAAAATAGCCCAGTTATGTGAGAATTTAAGCTGTTTGCCATGAAGGGTGTATGCTTGAAAGAATAAGTAACAATTTTCTAGTGTGCTACTTTAAAACTGATTTTCTTTAAAAATGTAATCGTTTCTTAACTAAACTGCATTTTTTCCTTTTTTAGCTGACAGCAAAAGTGTTCTATAGTGCAACTGTTTAAGTACTTTTCTCCAAAATGCTCTATCGTTCATACTTCGAAAATAACAAATTACAGCTGAAGCTGGAGGAAAGGAAAGTTAGGATAGAAATGTAGGTGTGACTGGCAGCTGCTTTAAAGGCTGCATTTGAACATTATGCAACTCTAGTATTCTAAGGGTCTTACTCATTTCTTAGCAGCTATAAGCAAGCAAATAAAATTTTGCTTTAATTTACAACAGAGTAATAGCACTCTAAATATTGTTTCTTTCCCGAGCTGTTTCCTAGGATGGGCTTGTGTTTACAGTATTGTAATTCACAGCAACAGCTAGGAAAGTGATATTGGTATGTGCAGGAAGGGAAGAAAAGATTGAGTGATTAAGACTGGCAACAGGATGCTGAAAAGTATAGTGTGATCTTGAATACTTAGGATCTTCGTTTGAGACCCAAACATTAACATTTGACCTTTATTTTCCTGTACACTGAGGATAATATCCCCATTTCTTCGTAGCAAGATTTGAGTGTTTGTTTATTAAGGTAAAAGATCCTGGCATTCTTAGATGAAGAAAGTTCATCTGTAAACTGCATAACATTGAATTTAAGAGATTTTGATGGCTCATAATCTAACCTACTGTTTAAAGCAATGAAGAAGTGAATTCATAGATTTTTGGCTAGTTGCTCTTGCATTAAGCTCACTATTAAAACAATTATATATACATATATTAATACTATTTAAGAAACTGTTATACATGCAACTATATCTATATATACTACATGTACAGTGATATCTATGCTCCTTCAGTATGTATACTGCTTAATAGATGTATCTTGTCCTATGTTGAATGGAAAACAAACTTCCTTTCCATGACATTCATGCTCATTAAATTGCCTGGGCTTTTTTTTTAAGTCTGGCTAGACATACCTTACTTTTTATAAAAAAAATATGACTGCTCCATTTTGTCTAGATGTCATTGGTAGTACCAGAATGGAGTGTGCCTTCCCTCCCTCTTTAAAGGTTTGGATTGAAAATGATGCAGCCATGGACATGCTGTCTTTTCATCATTGTGCTGTGAAATGCACTATTTTTTGATGGCAACTGCTCTACTGATAATCTGTTCTAGATACTAACAGTACTAACACAATCTCTGGTGAATTTCAGTTCTCAAATATCACTGACACAAATAGGACTGATGCCTTTCTTTCTTTCTTTCTTTCTTTCTTTCTTTCTTTCTTTCTTTCTTTCTTTCTTTCTTTCTTTCTTTCTTTCTTTCTTTCTTTCTTTCTTTCTTTCTTTCTTTCTTTCTTTCTTTCTTTCTTTCTTTCTTTCTTTCTTTCTTTCTTTCTTTCTTTCTTTCTTTCTTTCTTTCTTTCTTTCTTTCTTTCTCTCCTCCCTCGCTTTGCTCACTCTCTCCTACTTTCTTTTCTTTTTTTATTCTTTTTGTCTTTCTTTGTTTCTATCTATGAAAGCCTTTCAGAAAAGTTGATTGCTCCACAGCCGTGATTTAAGCTTAAAATATTTGGTTTTAATTCTTTCACTGTGTAAGAGGCTTGCTAAGATGCATGGTTTTGCAATCACTCAAAAATCAGAGCTGTGAGTTTCCTGGAACATGCAGTTAGTTGATGTATGCAAAAATGGATCATATCTGCCTATCACATGGCAGTAACTATGTGTACATTTACAAAATCATAAGGTAATTTGATGAAGAAAATATACTCTGATTTGTCCTTTCTATTCAGTTGATCACAAGAGTTGTTTGCATATCTTAAAAATAAGGAGCAACTATTGAGGTTTTTTCTAGTCTGAAAACTGCCTTTTATTTGTGAGGTGAAAACATACCTTATTTGTGATAATTTTGTTTCTTCAAACTTTCAGGTATGCAACTTTACCATGGATGTATCTTGTATCCAGATTCTTCTCAAGTTCAGATGTAGCTTTTATTTCTTACATCTCCTTGAATTTTGTATTTGGCCTGTGTACCATGCTGGTGACACTCTTACCTCGTTTGTTAGCTATAGTTTCCAAAGTGCAGGTCAGTATAAAACCTTTGCTTTACATTGCTCACAAGTGAAATGTATGCACACGTGTGTGTTACACATTCACGATTTTCCTGTCCTAGTGTATCCTGAGTTGATTCTGACTACCTTGAATGTTAACTTGTTCATTAAAAAGAAATAATAAAAAAATAGCAGCAGGGTAATAATGGAAAAATGGTTTTAATTGAAACCTTGAAATTTTCCAGGCCATTAAGTTGTAATTGGCACATAATGGCAAATGTTTTGCTCCATTGAATAGAGGACATGCATTGTAAAATTGGTTTGAATAATATTGACATAAAAGACAAGCCACATATTCCTAGGATCTGTAAGGTACTCTATGAATAGTAATATGCATTGTCACTCCATGTATGTAATTGTTACTACTCATAATGGTAATCAAGCAATTTGACGGAGACATATTAATATCTATGCATGCACCAGGCGAAAAACTGGACGTTGGAGGTAAAATCTGATTCACCTCTCCCTCAAGTTTGGAGACAGATTTGGCGTTGACTTGGGTTTAAGTTGATGATTTAGAATTAATAACATTCAAATATTAAAATTTTAAGAAAGCAGAATTATAATGGTGACGTGTTTTGTTACTGTCTGTGATCCTCCACTAAATGGCCCTAGGCAGTCTAAAAAATACAATGTGATGAACCCTGCCTCAAAATAGCTCACAATATGCTCTTCTCAGTTCACCTTGAGTGAGATTTGAATGCTGTGTCCAGCTTTGTAAGTGTGCTTAATATGCTGTTGGTGAAAACTAATTTTTTTTCCCTTTTTTTTTTTTTTCTCCACCTCCATCCTTCCTTTCCCCTTCCTTGCTGAATCTTAATACAGACTTTTCAGAACATCTACAATATCCTCAAATGGGTCTTCATTGTATTCCCACAATTCTGCTTAGGCCAGGGTTTAATAGAGCTTTCGTACAATCAGATCAAGTTTGACCTGACCAGCAACTTTGGAATAGACTCATATGTGAGCCCCTTTGAGATGAATTTTCTGGGCTGGATTTTTGTGGACATGGCTCTGCAGGGAACATTACTGCTTCTTTTACGACTCTTTCTTCATTGGGATCTCCTCCAGAAACCAAGGTGTGTTACCATTTTTATTCTGCCATAGTAGGTACTGAACTAATTTTTTAAGAAAGAAAATGTTGGATTCCTTTGAACAGCTGAAGGTAAATAAGTCTGATAACATGGTTAACCTGAATTAATGGAAACTGCAGAAAAAAGTAGGAGTAGTTCCTATTTCCCTTGGGTTCTGCCGAGATTTGATCACCAAGCTTTAAGGGATTGCAACCAGCGAAATAAAACAGAGTTATCCAGAGTACAGAAATGTCCACTTTGCCATGTGTCATTTGCTATCATCTTCTGTTTTAGGGGTCAATGTTCATTTAACAGCATGGTCAGTCCTTCAGAAGATGTTGATGTAGAAATGGAGAGACAGCGACTCTTTGGTGGAAGAACTGGTAATGATGTCCTTCTTCTGTACAACCTCAGGAAGTGTTATGGAGGTGTCAGTAAGAAGAATGCGGCTGTGGAAAGCATAAGCTTGGGAATACCAAGGGGAGAGGTAAAGCATTTTCTTCTTTTCCTTTTAGAAAATAACACATTATTCTGAGAAACTGTTCAGGCATACTCGAGATGTCTGCAATCAAAAATCTCTGGATAGCGGCAGAATAATTTAAATCATAGGAATTTCTGAAAATCAAAAACTGGATAAAAGCAGAAGCACTGATGGTGTTTAAGAGGCAACAGATCACTTGTTTTTTTTCAGGTTACAAATTCATCATAGTGTTATTTTATTTCTTCTTGCTTATCTCTACGGAATTGCTGCTTTGTAGGCTAACATAAAAAAACAAGCAGGTAGCATAGCAGCTCCATGTCCAAAGAGAAAGCAAAGAAAAAGTGTCTTATTTGTAAAATGAGGAGTGAATTCTGGATTTATCACCAGGGCAAATGTATAGTTCCCATGCTGAAATCGTCACAGTGTATTTTAATATAGCATATAGTATCCTGTTTTAATAAACTGAAGTTTAGTAGTGATGATGGCAATGCTGAAGACTTCAGAGCAGCATTTATTTGGGGGGATGTTCATTATTTTGATGCTTTTGGGAACTGCAGATATTAATTTCAAAAATGCTTATATGGAAAAGACTTTTCTTCGTTGCTAGTAGCAAACTGGGAGATACAAGAAGCTAGGGCATGGAAGCGCAGGTCCAATGACATCCTGCCAGTTATAGATCAGTTGTTGGGAAACTGGGGTAACCAGGAAGATGTTATTGTTGATTAAAGCCTATTTATCAATAAGACAGTTGATTAAACAAGTACTTAAGAAGTTATGAAGTACTAATATGATCCTGCCCTAGCTTAAACATATATTAATTTCATCTAGGGGCCTGAGACAACTGTTGAGAGTCAGTGTGTGTCTTGGCTGTTTGATGTTCATTTACTTGCAGAGTGATGCAGCTCATGAGAAGCTGAGAAATACTGAGTCTATAGATTGGTAGTCAGGACTCTTACACAGGACTTGAGATCCTCAGGTTCAATCTAGCATTTGCTAATAATATGGGAAAATATTACATTTAGCTATCGGGAAGCATTTTAATTGGAGTGCTAAAATCCTAAAGAAGTCACTTTTAGGAATTAGGGTGGTAATAGAAAAATTATGTAGATGTGTTTTTTGATAACTTATTTTCCGTGACAAAGGGAATTTGTACATATGATCTAACCATATACAGGATCTTACAGACATATGCTAAGAAGTATTATTTATTTATTTATTTTTACCTCTGTTAGTGTTTTGGACTTCTGGGAACAAATGGAGCTGGGAAAAGCACAACATTTAAGATGCTGACTGGAGATATCATCCCATCCGGAGGACGTGCTGTTATCAGGACTCCTACAGGGTAATTACACAAGGCTCAATCAGAATAGTGCTGATTGATAATGCCAAAGATCAAAGACCCAGCACACCTTCAGTCCTTTATACTGTACTCTAAGGACCTGTCTTGTTCCCTTTTCAATGCATATTGCTTTATTGTTGTTAACTCTCTACAGGAAGCATTTTAGCATAATTTCATTCCTTCTTCATTGAGAATAAACTTGTCCAATAGTAAAAGAGTAGGGTCTATGAAGATTTAACATACAACCTTTTTAAACTGTAACAAAAATCTTAACATGCAGCATGTCCAGTTGTGTGGACATATATGCCCCATACTAGTGCTGCACTGAAAGGTTTCCAGGCTCCGGCTGATGAGCAGTGCTTCAAGTGGATAATCTTAAAATATTTTCAAACACTTGTGCCTTTCAGAGTAATAAATTAATTTCTGTATTGATATGCTATGTAATTAGTATCGCAGGTAGTGTTGGTGATATTGAAACTAACATTGATGGAATATTAAGTGAATAATGGACTTTTTGGGTTAGATGTAACCAACACCATTTTTCCCAAGAAATCTGGAGCAGAAGTAAAATTATTTTTTAGTCAGGCCAAAGTAAAATGTATATGTGTATATAGAAATGTATTCTGGGCTACTTAACAATTTTTAAATTGCTCTTTTCCTAAATGTTGTCTCTATTTCAAAACAGTGTTTTGGAGAAGGACAGGTAAAGGTTTAATTCAGAAAATTTTTAATGGGAATATTTTGGAATTTCCAAAATGACAAGTTACATTTCTTTGGTTTAGAAATCAAATGCATTCATAGATCAGTAATTGCTCACTTTACAAAGATAATAATCAGCAGAGGTAACTTCAAAATGTAAGTAGTTTCAGTCATTGCAAAATTGAGTTTTCTGGAAAGTTTATGCCTCTTTTGAAAAGAAGTCCATCACCACTACCAAGCATGATTATGCATAAGTGTGTTTTGTTTGATTTTTTCATTATCTTACATAACATATTTTTTTTTGAGAGATTTAGTGTAGAAATAATTTTATTAGAAAGAATTCCTAAAATTATCAGAAAACAATTGTTAGCCATGAAGAATAAATCACTAAAGAGGTATTAGAAAGATTCTTAAGACATTAATAAGTGATATGAGTGAGGCTTTACAATGGTTATATAGACCTTTAGATAGTTGTTAGAATTTATGATTTACCAGAAAAGAAGACAAAATTTTTCAGATATTAAACAAGAACAACCATAACAAAAAAATATTTAAAATTAGTTTAAAGAGTCTGTCTCCATATTATGGATATTTGCAACCCCAACAAAGGAAGAAGCAGTATTGAAACAGTTACTTTGGAAGATGTGGAAATAAAATACTGATACTGAAGTACCAGCAGTCTCCCTCATAATCTTATGGAGTATTTTCATAACATTTTTTTACCTGTATGTTTAAAGTATGGTGCTCTAAGCTATTAAGAGACACTGACTGGCTTTTGAACAACATCCATACAAAGAAGTTGTCAATCTTGAATATGTAAAACAGTTTACTGCATGGTCTGCTTAACATTTAGACAATTATTTGTGACCTCTGTAGCACAGCTCTTCCCCTTTAAGAGTACAAATGGACTCAAATTAGCTCATGTTTATCTCTACAGTCATGAGTAGATTGACACCAGTGCATGAGCTGACTATGGTATAAAAGTATAAATATTTTTGTAGTTACTTTTTCTGAAAAATAGCTTGAAGAAGTTAAGGTCTGTATTAAATATGTATGAAGAAAAGCTGACACTTAACGAAGTGGTAAAACAACAGAGAACAAAGTAAGTCCTCATAGTCTTTGAATCTCTGCTGAGCTGATCTATCAGCAGATGTTGTACAACTGATCCATCTTTTTTTTTTTTTTTTTTTTTTTTCTTTTTTTTTTTTGAGTGTACTTTGGCCGTTCTTTGTTTTCTTCCCCTTTCCATATTTGTGCTTAAACCTTCATCAGTGACTCTGTGTCATAAAGCCTCCCTCAGCTGAGGAGTGCTAAACACAGATTGGAAGAGGCAGTGTCAAAATCCTTTGAAGTGTCCTGTCAAGATCAATATAAAATAAATATTGTGACTAGTGTTTGTTTTTTGTTTCCTTTTTGGCACCCTTTGTTTTGCAGTCCTTACCTTTTTGTTTTCCTGAATAGATCTAACTTTAAGATCATACTTAGAGCAAAGTCTTACTTGTAGTGGGGTACATAGTGGAAGAAATAGATAAGCTGGGTATCCTTTTGTTAATAAGTTGCCCCACTGAAGCCTGATCCATTTGGCAGTCTTCCTCATGTAATTAATTTACCTCCCATGACTTTATATCTTTCTTATGTGCAGAGAGACCCTCCGTTACAGCAGCTCCCCATCCTATTTGAATTGTCGGTCGTCTCACCTGTTGGATTACAAAGTCATAGGACCAAAGAGTTACTCTCCAAAGAGGGGAAAGTAGAATAATTTTTTTATAGCTAGAACTTGGACTCTTTTGATAGTTATATTCAGCTTGATAAATGATTTAAAATGTATTTCAAGTAGCTTTACTTGAAAAGAAGAATAAATTTACATCAGTATAATGCCTGAGATAGCTGTTGCTACACTGTATATCAGTATAATTAGTTTAATTATAACTAAGCTATAGGTACATTAATTATATTTTAATCTTGATTTTTATAATATTAATTGACCATTTAGTGAATACTAACTACAATGGAATGTCTAACTACTTTTGGAATTTGTAAATTTATATTTAATTTGACTAATTAATGGAATTTATCTCTCTACAGAAGCCATTATAAGTACCATACTTATCACTGCCTTTATTTTAACTGCATGCAAAACTGCAGAATAAGTGAAGCAAAGTGCATAGTGGATTCAATAATGATAATTTTTTTCCAGAAATGGCCATAAGGCTGATACTGAGGGCAATAAGTTGTCTCTGGAAAATTGAAACTGAGGTGTACCTTTGGAAGTCACCCCACAGGTACCCAGAAGCTATGTTGCCAGTAACTCCTGTAGCAAATAAAAAACAAATCTATTCTCTGCAATAACCAGAGGAATTCATTGTGTTTACTGTATTATGGACAAAAAGCCTGAGAGGGCTTGTAATCTCTACTTAGATGTTCTTTATCTCCATGTTTAAAATGACCTGATTTTTTTCTTCCTGTGTGTCCTGTTGTTTATATGAATGGCCTAATGAGAAATGCTAGCATGCTGGTAATAAAAAGGCAGAAAACAAATGTCTGCTTTTATCTAGCTTGAGAAAAAACCCAGCATTTTGCTGCATGCTAATCTATATTTCAGAAAATATTACAAAATATATATTTCAAATTTTATTCTGATAATGTAATATATTAAGATACTTGTTAAGGAAGAGGAAGATTATAATTAGTTTCATATCTGACATTAAAAAAAGCATTTATAGTATATCTTTTATTGAAAAGTAAAACATTTTTAAATGTTCATTTGATTTAGACCCATGAAAATGAAATCTGAGAGTTTAACCAAATTTCAGGGAAAATCAATTTCCAGAGATGAGGGCAGTTTTCCATTATAAGATATGTATTCTAATTAAAAATTAAGCTGTGGTTTTCTTTCATCGATTCTTTCAGTATTCAAAAAAAGCTTAGGACTTGGCTAAACAAAACTGAAAGATGAGCTCCAGTTTTTTTTATTTGGAAATCTACTCAGTGATATTGCTGAGGGAATCACAGAAACACAGAATCCTAGGGATTGGAAGGGACCTCTAGAGATCATCTAGTCCAAAGATGAAGAAGAACAGGCATTGTACTCTACATACCAAAAAAAGTCTCAATAAAGACTTCTTGTATGCCCTTTTTTTTTTTTTTTCCCCCCTTCTTTTCTTCTGGTCAGATTGTTTTCTGCTTTGGCAGATAGAGAGATGGAGAAAAATTAGGTCCATGACTTCTGTAGTGAATATATTAGAATGTCTTTATTAATGGGGGCATGTTTAAGGTCAGCACTAGTTGATAAAGTTGCAAGATAAGGATGAGACTGAGTAAGAATATTAATTGATCTATTCTCCTTGTACTCTTCTATGAAAGCTAAAGGTCAGTGGGTGGGATATTGTTCATCTAGGGCTGTGTGCTTTATGGGACATCCAACACTAAAATCATATCTCTATGGTTAGCACTGGGGACACTGATATACTTTTGTTTCCTGATGCAAACTGAGTAACTATTGTCTAATATAGTTGTAGCTAAAGAACATTAGATATATGTTATTTTTTGCAGCCATGCCTACTTATTTTTTGTTCTTCATGATATGGAGCCATTCCAGACTAGAAGTTTCTATCCAGCTACAGGGTTCATGCTGAGTAAACATGGAATTACTCGTTGGTGTGATTTGTTCTCTTGTGACTGAACCTGGGTATTTATCAAAAGCCCAGTCTTTTGTATCTCCAAAGACAGCAGCTGCACCACAATGAAACCTTGTTAGCATGCCTGGATCTTCCTACTAAAACAAACCTCTGACACATCTCTCTTTGTTCATCAGCATTTAGATAGCATTTCTCTGTGAATAGCGTTCCACTATGGTGGAGTTCATTAAAAAAGGAGTCCACTGCTTCTGAAAGATTATGCAAAAAGATCAACATTAATGAACCCATATCTTATGGTAAAGATGACCCTAAATAAGCAATTTAATTTGATTTACGTATGGCTGGAAACTAAACTGGTATAAACATATATATACTTAATTAAAATAACCTAATAGCAGATATAAATTAGTGAGGAAGTGCACTTCTGGTATCCTCTTTCCCCTATCACTCCTTTTCTTCTTGTCTAAGTCTTTAGCCATCTCTTAAGAAATGTCTACAGGAAGCTAACTTCCTTGGCACCATCAAAACCTAAAAAGCTACTAAAAGTTTATATCTGTGCCATTAAGGGCAAAGGACCATTCTAAAAAATTCCCATCAAAGTTTGTCATAATCATGATACTTTATCTTTTGATAGCATTACAATATATTTTGATGCAGTGGTTCATTATGTAAAATGCAGAATTTGTGCTTTCTTTTTCTCCCCAGACTTCTGGGTCTTGTTAACGTGAGATACATATTTATATTTTCACTGGAGCTGGTATTTGTAGATCCCGTATTTAATACATTTACTTTGTGTCTAAATGATTAATCATATATTTAGTTCTCTTAACCAGAAACAGAAAACCACTAAAGGGAAAACAGTTCTGTTACTCAGAACCTTTTAAAACCTTTTGTCTTTCAAAGCTCAGATTTTTTTACTATTAAGTATCTTAGTTTTGACAGGTCTTTTCTGTACATGTGAATCAGCATCATTGAATGTTGAATTAGATGTTGGAATAAATGGGATAGATTTAGTGCCATTATGGATAATGAGACACCCTTGCAATCAAGCTTGCTTCTTAGCAATGAATGTAATTTCAAGTAATAATGTTCAGCTACAAAGTGATGACCAAAATCTCTTAGATCAGGATAATTGTGTGGGTTTTTTCCTGTATTGTTTTTTAACCTACTAGGCTTTGATATTCTGTGTTTTGTTGGTCTCTTGCTCCTGAGAGAACTTATGCATGTGTACGTGTGTGCACAGACACAAGAAGAATACCCAGCAACATTACTCTCTCCATCTCTCAACTACTGCCCCTTTGATATTGAACATGATATATGCAGTATGGTTTTGAAATATGTCTCCTTATAACAGGGTCTATCAAAAAGGTAAGAAAGTTGAATCTGCTAAGAAGTAATTCTCGTAGATCTGCCCTCATCCTGTGTTGCTCTCTTCCCCTTGACACACACCCTGTCAGAATAGTGACACATAGGTGGCAGTGAAAGGGACAAAAAGCATGTGTTGTGTGTGGGTAAGTGATCATAGCAAAGAGTTTCAGACTCATTTGCCCGGGGAGACAAGCATCAGTATCTTTGTCTTCAAGAGTCTGTGTGCCAAGGGTGAAACGCAGGCCTGGGTTTTTTTTAAAATGACATTCAAGTCTTTGTCTGTTTCTTTAAACAGGTCTGAAATGGATATACTCTCTGCTAGCTCTGAAGGCATTCTTATCGGCTATTGTCCACAGCAAGATGCCCTGGATGAACTTTTAACAGGTTGGGAGCATCTTTATTATTACTGCACACTGCGTGGAATTTCAAAACAGGATATCCATAAGGTAACTATCCAGAACAGATTTGCAGGGGGAGCTGAGGCCAAGTTGGGTTCTGGAATTTATAAAGCAATTGTACTTTTTTTGTTTACATGAGAGAATATCTAATATTTCATCTAGCATCTTTAGTAATAAGGTTTTTTATCACTACTACTTTATTTAAACAATGTGATTTTTTTCTGTGTGTTATGTCAGTGCAAAACACAATTAATGTAATTGAGGGTAGTAAAATGACACCAATGCAAATGAAATCTCAGGCATAAAAACTCTGAAGGAAATGAAATTTATGAATGTTTCAACACCTTCATTATCAGACCTGGAGAACTGGGAAGAAACATCACATGTCCTGAGTCATGCACTCCATAGAAACACTTTTTTCAGAGGTGGGATTAAACTCTGAAGGAATAAAAAAATTGCTGGAGTGTGTCCAGAGGAGGGTGACCAAGCTGGGGAAGGGCCTTGAGAACAAGCCTTATGAGGAGTGGCTGAGGGAGCTGGGGCTGTTTAGTCTGAAGAAAAGGAGGCTGAGGGGAGACCTCATCAACCTCTACAGCTACCTGAAAGGATGTTGTAAAGAGGCAGGTGCTGGTCTCTTCTCAAGTAACTAGTGGTAGAACAAGAGGGAATGGCCTCAAGTTCGACCAGAGAAGGTTTAGACTAGACATTAGGAAGAAATTCTTCACTGAAAGGGTTGTCAGACATTGGAACATGCTGCCCAGGGAGGTGATTGAGTCACTGTCCTTGGATGTGTTTAAAAGTTGTCTAGACGTGGCGCTTGGGGATGTGGCTTAGTGCTGGACTTGGTAGAGTAGGGTTAATGGTTGGACTAGGTAATTTTAAAGGTCTTTTCCAACCTAAGTGATTCTGTGATTCTGTGATTGTTGAATGATTATTTAAGTACTCCAAACATCTGGGTGCTGAGATGACAGCTGCCAGCACTCTGCTAGTGTCTTAAACTTCACAAGATGATAGCTGCATTCAAACTGCCTGCTGGGAGCAGACCCTAAGATAATTCAGCTGCTGTACCAGGCCTGAAGCTGTTCAAGGAGAAGAGGCCAAACCCTTGTTGGAAAATGCCTCACAGTTTACTAGGTGATGACAATGTCTGGGAATGTCACTCAGAGGTTTTGAAATTACAGATGCACCTGCATCTGGGCTGACCAGTAAACAGTGCTCTTTTTCTGTAATGAGGCAATCGGTCAGCCAATACCAGAAATTAAGTACCAAATGGATGTAGTGTAAAAGGTGGGGTTTTTTTCTGTCTTTGCAGATGAAAGTTTCTGATCTGACCTGATTTCAGCAGCTCAGTCTCTTGTCCTTAGTTGCATCTCTATTAACATGAGAAAACCAGAGTGTGATATGAAGTTAGTGTCTGTAATTTCTGTTGTATAGATTAGCCCCATGTAGTTTCTGTTACTCCTAACATGAGAAAATCAGAATGTGATATGAAGTTAGTGTCTGTAATATAGATTAGCCCCATGTAGTTTCTGTTACTCTAGGATTGTCCTTCTAACCTCCAGAATCTTGCCTGTTGTCTTCCATTGCAATTAATAACTGGCAACAAGATCATTTGACTTCCCAGCAGCAATTTTTTTGGAGGATAAGGAGCAGGATTGGGAGCTACATGGAAGCTTGCAGATAGAGTTCTGTGGTGTGCTTAAGGACTTGGGTTTTATAAGTAAATTGTCCCATGCAGCACTGAGCTTTTCTCAGGTGCCTGGGAAGTTTTCCAGATTGTGATGAGCAGGATGATATCAACAAGTTCCTATACCGTGCCTGCAGGGTGTCTTTCTACATGTGCATAAGTAAATGAATGCTACTGCAATGCTGCCCGCTGTCTGTATTTGGTGAGGAGCCACAAGGGTAACCTGGCTTCATATACTTTCTCTGTAGATAACATGAGAATAGTGCTCTCTCTGAACTATCTGGCATTCATAAAACCCATTTCAGCTTCGAAAGTATTTATGTATAATTGGGGTAACTAAGAGCTTCTACTTTATGTTCAGATCCAGCCGTTCTCTGGGCAGTTAGTACACAGCTACTCCAATGGTGGTTATCAAAAACATTTGGGGAACAGCTCCTCAAATGGTGTAGTAATTCCCATACAGGTCCTGCTTCAAGTGGATTAAAATAAATCCTGTATTATTTAGAGATGAGTTATGTTACTGAGGTGACTGGGAGGAGATAAATATTAATCTTTTGATTGTCCTGGACCTTAAATGGTCTAGGTGTAGCCTTCGTATATTCTTAATAGGCAACCTTCTGTGCCTTAGTTTCACATTTGTGATACAGATAGTTTTTCCTTTCAGTTGTCCTAATTTTTTGTCTGCATAGATTGCAGAGCAGACTTTGCTGCCATATGCTTGTGAACAAGGCATCAAAGGCCTCCTGCAAATAATATTTAGCTACTATGGTTTACCAAAACCTGAAATGCAGCTGTCTCAGAGGTAAACAAATGTTTTTGTCAGCCACTTCTTCCTACTGTGTGGCATTGCTGTCAAGTGTTGAACAGCTGCTGTGTTTCAACTCATCAATGGCTAGTGCCTGAAGAAAGTGTGCATTTAAGTGGTCTATGAAGAAAATAAGGCCTGGGAATGCTTTGGAATAGCAGCTGTACGGAAGTGTAAGCTGTTGTTTTCTTATTCCCTCCTGCCTACGATACAGTGCTTCAAGCCTGCCTCTGCATGTTTGCCAGGGAGTGTTTATGTGAACGTGGTAAATATTCTACAGAATATGTTCTAGAGAGTACATGGTTTTGATGTGGAAAGCAACATACATGCACTTTGTTTTTTAATAAAACTGGCAAGTGGGCAGGTGACTTACAGGATGTGTTACTGCTAAAATAATCTATTGAAGCACTAACCTCAAGGATCAAACCCTTTGCTAGACAGATTTATCAGCAGCAGTTCAGTGCCTGACATAGAGCTGAGTGCACTTAAAGTTCCAAAACAATAATTAACTGAATGGGAAATGAGGAGAAAAGCAGGTCATTTGGTATCAGTGTTAAGCTTCATGTAATGTAAAGTTTTACTTTACTTTCCAGAGTGCTCTGAAAGTTTCTTTTTGCTGCAAAACTTGAAAAAAAAAATGAGTGGGGTTTTTTTAGGTTCTTCAGACAGATACTAATTTAACATAATATTTTTAATTATTATTTTTATTTCTTCAATATATCAGATTTCAATATCCCAATTTATTCTGAAAGACAGCATATAGCTGTTAAAAAATATAATATATTAACACAATATTAAGTGACATCTCTCATTTGCATTAAAACTCATGTTGCAAATCTCACAACAAGCTTCATCAGACCTTCGGAGGAAACCTCTTGGAATGTTAGTATGGTTTCTCTCTACGTTAACTCTCCAAGAAGACTTTTGCATTGAAGTGAGAATATATTTTGCTTCCTTACATCTTATAAATTCTACAACTGTATAAAACAGGGATTTGTACATTCATTTATTTGCAATTTATTTCTTATTTATTCCTTGCATGGCTGCTTTTTTTGGACACCAAGCAGAAATAGTGTGTATGGTTTAGTTAGATTCTGGGGTAAAGAAGTATTTCCCCCTAGAAGATTGACTATGAGTATCCACTTTCCTAATGTAAGAAATCTAACAATTCTGAGTTTACTCTGAAGCAGAATGAATACTTTTTTGTGTGGAATTGGTGAATGATTGTTATTTAGGATGTTCAAACTTCGTTGCATTCATTTACTCAGAACCTGACACTTTGTTTGTCTGTTTTGGAAGTGTATTTTTCAGATTGCTCTAGAATTCATCCCATGCTTATTACATTTGTACTAGGTATGATACATATTTTCAGTATTAGGCCAGGCATGCTTTATGAAGGCTTGTTCAAAATAAAATAGCAAGAAGTTATACATCACATTTATTTTATTAGAAATAATGCAAAATTAACACACTGATGCATACAGCCTTTCAAGCCAGGATAGACATGCTATCACATTTCTAGTCTTCTAACAGATTAAGTCCTTGCTAGCTCAAAGCTTTTCTGAAACACATACTAACTGGTAACTCTCAGCACCACTTAATTTTTTACTTGAACATTAATGGTAATTTTCAAAGAGAGTGGAAAATCATTAGCATTATAGTTACATTATTAACATCACTTACTGCTTTTCAATGAGGTAGACATGCCTCTTGGTTTTCTGTAGGATAGAAGACACCGTGCCTACTTTAACCTTTAGTCCCAGAAACGTTAACATTGTGTGCAAAGATTCAAGTTACCTTACTGCCTCTTCTGGAATGAAGAGAGTCTTTAGGAAATGCACAAAATATTGGAGGATTTGGTTTTGATTTCACAGGTTGAAAGGCTTATTCCAATGCCTATTCCAAAGCTAGGAGAACTAGTCCACATTCATTTAGGGAAAAATAACTTTTGCTAAAGATGTTAGAATTGCTGAGGGAAAAGAAGATAATTTTAAGCAATATTGGCAAATAGGGAAATTCTTAGCTGATGGATGTAAAGTCTGTTATAATTTGGACTGAAGGGGGGAGGAGGATGGAAAGAGTTTAAATACATTGCTACAGCCATGACTAGATGTAAAACATCTTTATGGTTCAAGTGCTCTCACAATATACTTATTTGCATATAGCTATGTGTTTTAATTTGGCCTCAGTGTTGCCAACTTGCTAACAAAAATTGATGTATCTCCTCACTCTTCCCCGCTGAAAGTAATTGAAAACAAAAATAGAACATCATGATGAATATGACAGGGAGAGAGAAGGTGCTTGTGTATATATCTCACATTCAGTGAGGGAAGGAAACCATTAGCATTGTAAATCTCTTGCATAATTGTATGTATCTGTTTAAAGATTTGTCACATGTCCAATTCTGAATTTCATTTAAAGCAGTTTAAGAGGGATTTTCACTCTTACTTTATAGAATAGTGTCATACAAACCTCCAGATAGCACTGGTTATACAGAGAAATGAAGTTATAATGGAGATATGCAGGCTCCTCCACAGTATCCTAACACATAAGATCTCTAATTTCATTCAAATGACATTGTTGTTGTTGTTGTTTAGGTCATATTGATGAAGCTGAGACTGTTATTATATTCTTATATTTGCTGATGCATGTTCTGCAGTAGAACTTGGAAATTAAATGAAAGGATTGAGGAGGACTGCAGGAATAGGACATTTTTTGGGTGCAGTTGGGAAATGGTTAGGAGTAAGAAATGAGCTATTCCTGCCTTCGTGTTGCTGAGGTGATTCAGCACCAAATCTGTTCTAATTTGATATGTTTCCCACCAAAGAAGAGTATGTAGATACCTAGTCTGATTGGAGTGTAATAGAATGATCTACAAGGTTGATCTTGGAAGATCTACACATTCAAAGCAGTGGCAAAGTGGGTACTATGAAATTACTCCCACCCCTTTCTTTTTAGCTTAAGTTAAATGTTGGTGACTTTGTAGGAAGGTAATCCTGTTGTCAGTAACATCCATGCATTCCCAGCAGTAAAGCAAGTCAGTTTAGTAGAGTGCATGAGCTGTCTACCATGTGCTTTAGAGGTGATCACTTTACAGGCTGTTTTGGTGTAAGATGATACCCATGTTTGGAAGTTAAAAAATCATTTTTAAGAAGTTCAAAAAAGCCCAGGTATTATATCTTACCATATAGCTTCAATGCTTGACCATTTCTAAGGCTGCAGAATGTTTGAATTTGCAGTACCTCCTTTTTTTTTGTTTTTTTTTTTTTGTTGTTTTTTTTTTTTTAACCTTGTCAGAGCAATATTTATGAAATGTGGCTTTTGTATGAGAAAAGGTATCACTGTTAGATTATACATTAAGGTACACCAAACACAAGCGACTGTTAATACTAGTGCCAGGATCCACACTTAGGATACTACAGATTCTCATGACTGCAGCATCGTTTGTGCTTACAGAGAACTTGCTCTCAGAGATGTCTCTTATTTTTAAAATCTTGCTAAAAGACTGATGGTTATCTGTATCTTTTTCTAAGGAATTTTCATAACACAGTCTTATTAAAAACATTATGCTTACAACAGTTTATTTGAAATGGGTAGTGAATATTAATTCACAATATTGTTTATTGATTTAATGTATTTTCTATTGGATTTTCTGAATTAATTGGAGACTGTCCATCTAATCTGACTAATCCTTCCAGTCATTCCTTGCTTTTTGCTGAAGGTACTGCAGAGGGAGCAAAAGGAATGCCCCATACTGCTGGGGTTCTCCTGGCAGTTGATCTCAAGCAATAGGGCACCATGTAATGACTTGTTTTACAAGAACCTCCCGGCTGTCTAGGTACATCTAGCTTAAAGGTACACTGGCTCTATTACAAATTTCATCACCCCTTGATGATAGTCAGCAGTATGCCACTGAACACCTGCTGCTTTGCAGGGTGCATCTGGTAAGTAGAAAATTCACTGCTGTGTCTGTGCTTTAGCATGAGGTGTCCCTTGATGGTCCAACAGCAATAGGTGATACAGGTGGAGCAATATTTGAGAGAGCCTTGTACATTAGGACTTGCTCTGACAGGTAAAGGCCATAGAAGACAGCATGAACACTGTCTCCAGCTGTGTGCATGTGCCTGCCCAGCTTGCTCAGATCACACATACTTAATTGAAATCAAACTAGCTAGAGTAAATTTACCCCTCTCAGTTGTTAGAAAGATATATTAATTGAACACTAAGTTACCTTTTGTCTTTAAGAGACTAAATGCTTGACCTGTGGCTTGATTTTCTGCCATTTCCATCTTTTGTGGCTGATGTAGGATTTTCTCATCTGAATTTTCAGTCCTTAAGATGAAATAAGATCAAATAAATACTTCAGACAAGGTAAAATAGGCAACATCACTGACACATTAGCACAGAACGAATGCTGTGACACACAGAGACAAAGCCACATTTTCTATCTATGAAAATCCTTATCCTTTGTGGAGAACTAAGGGGTGCTGGAGCAGCTTTTAGTATGTGTCTAGGAGTAAAAAATAATAACACTGTGCAGCAAATTGGGGTAAATAAGAAAACAGCACATACATATGCTTAATATGCATGAACAGAGTGTTCTTTCAATCAAGCACAAATGCCACCTAATTTGGCTCATCTTTGCTGGCCTTTGAATATCCAAACTACAGGTTGCAGAGGACCTTGTTACCCGGTTACAACTCAATGCCCATGCTGACAAACTGGTGAGAACATACAGTGCTGGCACAAAGAGGAAGCTCTCTACTGCTGTGGCTTTAGTTGGTAAACCCCAAATACTTTTACTGGTGAGTAAAAGCTATAATGTGCCCATGACAAATTGCTTCAAATTTAATTTATTGTCTTGTATGTTGCTATAGAGAAAACCAAGTAGTTTCCTGGTCATTCCAGGGAGTAATCGATGCATGGATGAGCAACTGTACTCTTTGTTGTGATGTATAAATGCTTATTTTGTTCTCCAGTGCTATCAAAAATAATAAATTAAATTATTTTTCTCTTTCCTTTTTTTTTTTTTTTTTCCTTGGGACAATTTGGTGAGCAGGCAAAAAAAAAGGCCACCAAACACACACAAATGTAATTGTAGAATCTCATAGCCCAAATGGACTTGTAATTTTTTTAAGCTTTCTTTATGTAAAGGAATAAAAAAAAAATAAATGTAAAATATGTTAGTATTTTACGTATTCTCTACTTCATATATAACTTTAGAAAAATAGACATGAACAGTTCTACTGGCTTCTTGAAGAAGGAGGTTTAGTATTTTAATTAGTATTTTGGAGCTGGTGTTATTAATTACTGACCCATCTTTTTCAGGATATTCATATTCCTTGCTACGTCGTGCTTCATAAATCAGACTAGTTCTTTTATTTTTGTTGAATTCACAAATCACACAATCAAACTAATACTCCTGAATGATATTAATTTGAATTATTTATCACATGTAGTTTTATTTGCATCCTACTGCTTATTTAGGCCTGAAACTGGCCTTTCCGGTTTAAACAGTGCAGAAAGTTGCAAAGCTTTGGGAACTGCATAATGATGACACGACATTCTCTTTGTTATCATTGCTTGGCCTGTTGTTTCACTAGAGAAGATTGAACATCCCTTTCTTAAGTCTTGTCTGGGAAGAGCTAAACCAGTTAAATAGTGCAATAAACCTTTCTGAACTGTAAGAGGGAGGGTATCCACTTCCCAGAGTTGGGGGGGAAAGCAGCACTTCCAGTAACAGATTGCAGACTAAGCAGAACCAGATAAAACTGGTGTTATCACGGGGCTGGCGTTTCAGGAGCACAGACACAATTTGCTGCTTTTAACTTCCTATCATTGCCTCACTTCCGAGCAGAATTATTTTATTTACATTTTATGCCTGAACTGACCGTGGCCCAGTTAGTAAAAGGAGGAGACAATCTTAATTCAGTGCTTTTTCCCAATTTTAGAAAATGTTCCAATTGTTTTTTAACCATTGCAACCTACATCTTGCTGCAGGGCACTGACTTGCATATGTAATGCCAAGACATGTCTTGACATGTCTAAACATGTCAAATGCTTTAAAACATTTGGCTGGCTTTAGAAAACTAGCGGATTTTTAATGGGTTGTCAGTATTTAAAAGGCTTATATTTTTTTGTCTGAAAGCAAAGGCACCATTGTAAACCATAGAATCTGCTTCTAGATTGCATCTAGGATCATAGCTATGAGTTTAATAATGGCATGGGTTGTTTAATTTTTATTTCTTTTTACACTTTCTTTGTTAGCTATTCACACGTGATAATAAGAGACTGAATTGAGTTTTTTTTTAATCTCTACCACTGGCAGCGAGGCACCAAAATCAGCATCAAATTGGATGCTTTGTTTGCTTTGTTTCTTGACAACTTCACTTCTAGTTTCAGCTGGAGCTCCTTCCTGCAAATACACTGGTCAAGGCCATTCCACCCTAATCGGTGCTGACACTTGTCATGGTATTCCATAGTACACAAAACAACTGGAAGATTTTCCTTCTCCCTAGTTTTGCAGTGACTGAGACTAACTTTTGACAATCAGATATCATTCCTTCTGCTTCCATGAGTGGATGAAGTAAAAATTTGGTTTTCTAGATGGTTTACACTGTGTAGCACTGACTGGGCTGTTATTTAATCCTGTGAATTCCTTGCATCATGGCTGAGAGTTCCTCTTGATAGCACTTTGGGAGTAACTGCCGGAAGATGCAAAATCCAAACATACTATTCACATCTGGTTGTGGTATGGGCAGTGCAGGCAGTCAGGAATTACAGGACTTGTTTGTGCTCATGGTAGATGTGCATGCAGGGAGAAACAGGCACCAGGCTTTCCCAGAAAGGGCAGAAGAACACCTGCAAGTCTCTCCTATTAACAAAAGTATATTTGTGTGTATATAAATTTACAAATATTTTCAAATATTTACAAATAATTTCAAATCTTTACAAATAATATTATATTTATTATATCACTATGCAATATAGAAGTATGATTTTAATATAAAGTTTATTTAACAAAAAAGCCTTCTATAAGTTTAGAAATGAAACCATATGTGTTAAAGCAAAACACTGATCAAGGTGTGTTTTAAGTGATCTCCTGAAAAAGTAGCTTTTTTAGAGAAAAACATTTTATTGTGAGCTTTGTTAACTCTTTGTGCTGGGCTGGAGCTGTGGTATGTTTTTCCCATGCTACTGTATTGTCATTTTCATTTTTCCTGTAGGATGAGCCCAGCTCTGGGATGGATCCCTGCTCTAAACGCTACCTTTGGAAAACCATCCTCAAGGAAGTTCAGGATGGCTGTGCAGCTGTGCTAACATCCCACAGGTAAAGCCCTTATCCCAGCAGCCAACATATTCCTGTTCTCTCTCCTCACCTGCTGCCAACTGAGAGCAGAAGAGCTTGTTCTAAAGCAATGCTCACCCTGGTGTGAAACATGAGATACATCTTAGTATTTTATGGGAAATCTTTCCTGCTCATGAAAATTGAACTTGTGTAAATCCTAAATATTTTCTGTATTTGATTTTAAATATTAGAACATGGCTCAAGGGGACTGCAGGAACAAAACCAAAGCCAAACCAAAACAAAAAAGATGCTATGAATTATTCCTTTTCTATGCTTTCTTGGAATGTCTTTCTTCAATGTCTCTTTCTTGGAACACCAGCTCATGTTTTTGCAGCTTCCCACTTTACAGATCCTTGTAAAGGGAGGTTAGAGTGAAAAGCCCTCTTCTCATTTTATGAATTATTTTGTATTGCATCAGTGTTTGAAAAGAATGAGTTGTGGCATCCTAAAGACAGATTATCTGTATGTACTACTGGAAATGGTAGGAGTGACCCTATCCTCTTAGAAGAGTCTATCTACATTGCATATCTTGTCAATGCTCTGATATGGTCATTGCTGTATCAGTTTAGTGGAGGAAATGTCAATACTGTTTTGTGACATCTTATAAAAAATTGAATGAATTAAATGTTTCGTTAGGGAATATAGTGTATAATTCTATATAAAATATTTTTAAGTGAGGGAGAGATCAAGAAAACAAGCTCAGGGAGGACAGAGTTCATTAATCAAAACAGCAAAGTAACATTTGGCCAAATAAGATTTGAAGGATATATGAGTCAATAAAAGAATGCAACAAAACTTCCCTCAATATTTTCTAGATGTTGTTAATTTTATTTCAGATGTTCTCAAAATATATTTGTTGTCTCGCTACATATGTGTGCTATATTATTGATGGAAAAATGCTCTCAAAAGTTTCTAGTGTTCTGTTTATGGAAGCTGAATCTTGAAAATCGCATTCCTGAATTTGATCCCCCAATTGCTTACCAGTTCACTTATATAGAGAATGCAAGTTATGTGTTGTGAATTAAATTGGATGTTTTCCAGGAACCAGTCTGCTTTGGCTTTCCAGTCAAGATTAAGAGCCCTTACTTGTCAAACACCAGCTAAACAGAAAAGGACAGTGGTCTTGTTGCTAATATGCTGTAAACTGACACAAAATCCATCAATTTGCTAATAATTACTCATTTAGCTCAACAAATGAATTACTTGAAGGTACACTGATAGTGTACATACTTAATTTCTAATTAAGAAGACACTGTTGTGCCAGGGTGGAGGAAGGAGAAATTATTTTATACTCTATACGCTTTGCTGAAGGCCATTGGAGATTTATTAGAGATTCTTTCAAAGGCTGCTTGTGTAAGTAAAGTAATTTCCCTTAAGAAGTGAATCTTCATGCATATCAGCAAACAAATGCACACTGTTTAGAGATGGTTTCCTGTATAAAAATTATTTTTTGAGATATATTTACTTAATTTTCAGAGACAAGATTTACCTTTTGTTTTGAGGGAGAAGAGGTGGAATTGTATTAAGTGTCCATATAAGAGTAAATTTGTGTTATTTTGCCACAGCTGGGGAGTGTTATGCCAAAGGAAGTATTAGGTGTTACTGCACCCCAAAGGTTCTTGCTAGCTTTCAGATTTGTGGGAAGATGTATTAGCAAGCACTCTCCCCATCTCTCTCAATTATAATGGTTTGGCAGTTCTCAACATGTCACTGTCGTATTTTAAGGAAATTGTTCCTAAGAGATTACTTAATTGTTCAGTAAAAGCATTTTCATTTGGAGTGGCACATGGCTGAGGCACACAAGAAAACTTTTTTAGCTGTTTCAGAAAGGTTGGGGAATGCAAGCAATGAATTGCAAGTACATCAACTGAGATGCTGAATATATAACATGGAATGGTTTGGGGTGGAAGAGACCTTACAGATCATCTAATTCCAGTCCTCCTGCATAGGCAGGGACACTTCCAAGCTAAAGAGACTCAGCGCCCTCTGGCTTTCCTCATAAAGGAGAGGTTCCACTCCCTTCATCATCTTTGTGGCCCTATGCTGGACTCTTTCAAGCAGTTCCCTGCCCTGAGGGGCCCAGAACTGGACACAATGCTCCAGATGTGGCCTCACCAGGACAGAACAGAGGAGGAACTCTCTCGACCTACTAACCATACCCCTTCTAATACACCCCGGGATGCCACTGGCCTTGCATCAAGGGCATCTTGCTGGCTATACCTTCTGTATACCATGACCTGCAGGTCCCTTTCCCCTATGGTGCTCTCCCTTCCAACCTTCCAATCAATTCTATGATTCTGTGACCAGATTGCTCAAAACCCCATTCAACCTAGTCTTGAACAATTCCAGGGATTGGGCAGCCACAACTCCTCTGGGCAACGTGTTCCAGTCTCACCATCCTCAGAGAAGAATTTCTTCCTAATATTGCATCTAAATCTAACCTGTTTCATCTTAAATCCACTCCCCCTTGTCCTATCAGCACATGCCCTTGTAAAAAGTCCCTCTCCAGCTTGCCTGTTGGCCCCTTCAGGTACTGGAAGGCTGCTATAAGGTCTCTCCAGAGCCTTCTCTTCTCCCGATTGAATAACCCCATCTCTCTAAGCCTGTCTTCACAGGAGACCTGCTCCAGTCCTCTGATGTCCTATGTTTAAAGCAATGCTTTGGAAGAACTCACACAATTCTGTACATTATGTAGAATGGCAGCTCTTCTGCCCTAAACTTTACAAATAAAAATTATTATTTATCATCTGAAGCAGCTGCATTTAATGGGATCCTGCTGTTATCTTCAGATGCATTTCCATGAGTAAAATTCTGTTTGGATTGTAGTGTTTTGCATCTTCTATCCTGCAGTCAAATGGTAACTAATTTTCAAGGGTAAGTATTATGCAAGAGGAAAGCTGAGAAAACTTAGTTAATTCTTCTCCCTTTGTCCTTTAGCTAAGAATGACCACAAACAGTTATTAAGAGGAATAACAGGGTTCATGGCTCTCAGATTCTGTGGCAGTTATGAGGCTGCCTATCAGGTATTTGCCTGTGGTAATAAAACCTTTGTAAGGTGGCCAGAATCATCCAATTAGTTCTGGACTAAAAACATAAATTCTATTTTAGGGCTTTCTTGTTGCTGTCATGTGGTAATAAGTTTTGATATGTACTGACCAGGGTTACAGTTTGGATTGTTGCCTATAAAGTCAAAGGTTTTGTGTACCCGTTTTTGCAGCTATCCAGATTCCTTCCACTTTAATTGAACTTAGGTATAAATAGTGTTCTATGTTTTCACTATATTTTTTCTCACTTTTTTTTTTTTTTTTTCAGTATGGAAGAATGTGAAGCCCTCTGCACACGGCTTGCTATTATGGTCAATGGAAGTTTCAAGTGTCTTGGTTCTCCCCAACACATTAAGAACAGGTATTAGATGTCAACATCAAACCTTCTGCAGCTACATTCAATCTAAACACTGGCTAGACACTTTAATAGTGCCAAAACATAAATACTTAAAACTGCTAAGCACATTTTTCTTTACCTGCCATCACTGAAGTTAAAAAAGAGCCAATTAGGATATCTTAGCAAGCTAAATTGACATATAGCATTGATAAAATGCTTTCTAGTCTGCACTGGTAATTGAAAAAGACAGATCTGTATCTAAAATGAAGCACTTCGCACTCAAGCTGTGAAGTACATTGTGAGAATTCATTGAGTTGAAATACCTTGTGAGGTATTTCTTGTAACAGGAAGAAGCACTTTTAACAGGTCAGCAGCCATTAAGACAATGTATGTTGAACAATCTCTGCTTCCCACCGAATTCAGTGCCAATTGCAGGTATTTATGCCATGTGTTCTGTGTCCTTTTCCTTTTGTTGATGAGCCTTTCCTCTGCTTGAACTCTGCTCATGAGTTAATTTAATATCTGTTAATGAGAATGTTTATTGAAAGGATGGGCTCAAACCACCATAAAGGGAACAGGAACAGAAGCTGAGGGGAAAGGTGCTGCAACTTATGGCTAGAACATGTACATTCCATAATAAGTAGAATTTTTATGACACCCAGATGATTAGCTGTGTAAACTGATAGAGCTCATTTCCAAGCAGCAAAGCTACACTGCTCTGCACTAGCTCAGCCTTTGGCACTCTTAATTGCAGGTATATTTGACAATGTAAACAAGCTTTACAGAAATGGTTTGGAATTGCTGTCTCCCATTGCTATAGGGCATAGGTGATTTGTATCTCAGATAATGTCTTGTTTCTTGGGGTACTTTTGGCTTTCTGTCCTTGCCTGTGGGTAGAAGTGTAAGCCCTAATTTCACAGCTATGTTAGCATTATGGGCCTGATTCACATTTACTTCAATAAGCTCTCTCCTTCCAAGGTTTTTTTCATCAAGACAAACTTTCAGCTAGAGACCTTACAAAGTGGATGGAGGACAAAAATGAACTCGACATCTATACTTCTGATTGCTCTCTGTGATCATAGCCTTCTTTTCATGTTTAAGTACCTTTCAGAGAGTAGTTGCATCAATTTCTGGAGGCATGAGAATTCAATCTGCTGTTTCTGCTTCTTTTGTATCTAGCTCTTTGTCTTTGCTATCCTGTCTTACTTCCAAATTTCATAGCATAAAGTGTGGCCTGTTGTCCTACTAGCTGAAGTACTTTCTCAGAAGTGAAGACACCCTCTATTCCTTTTGTAGTAAGGGAAACAAATGTCTGGAGAAGAATGCAGACCTTGGAGAGGCAAAACTGCTTTTTGAAGATGTGTGTCCCCTAATAAGGAAACAGGTATTTCTTAGGCACTTCACTTGAGTGCATAGTTAGCTGGGATAAATATATGTTTCCCCTTTTTATGTTTCAGATCCTGTGGAATGAGTGAATGTTTCTTTTCTTCTCAGCTTGATCTTCAGAGGGCAAAATCAGAAATTCCACAAAGGCTAGCTTCACCTTTATCCTCTCAGTGGCTTAGTCATTGTTTTGCCATTTCTGATGTTTCCTTTAGCAGCATCTATTCATCCACCTTCTTAGGAAGCAAGACATCATAAGCATACTCATAAGTATGCACTGTATTAATACAAACAGGACAGTTATGTCTCAATTTTCTGCACTGTCTCTGTAGGTATACACCTTTCAGATCAGAGTAAGCAAATCAGTGCAGCAGAATATACTATATGACATGCTAGAAGTATCTTCAAATTAATTCTGAGGATATCAAAACATACATAGCTCAGCCATTCAACAATCAAGGCTGTAGGAGTGCCTTTTTTAAATTCTCCAAAGCAAGGCAATGATAAGAATGTTTGGCAGTAATATTCATAGCAATTATTTTTTAATAAGAATTTTAACTTTTTCAAAAGCATATCTTATTTGTATTAAGAACATATCATACTATCAGCAGGTTTGTGTTCCTTGTATTGCCACGACAGCTCTTTAGTATCTGTCAGTGGATTTCATGTGGGATAATATGTGGATTGGATACCAGTATTACTGAGGCTTTCCATAGAAAATGAATACTTAAACCTGCACTAGGATTTTTCATATAAGGCAGGGGTAAAATGCCTTCAACATCTGGATTATTGATTAATTTAGTCTTCAAATTCCCGACACTTATTGTTCAGGACTCTTGAATTTCTCTAAAACTTTAGAGCCTTTTATTAGGAAAATAAAAGTCACTATCTTTATCAAAGGATCTAATTAAAATCAAACAGCTGTCTGAATTTGCTATGACTGCCTAATTCATTTTCTTAGCTTCTGGAAATTAAGATATTCTAGAGAGCACAGTCTTAAAACCTCATGTACACACAGCTGCTTATGCTTGCTCTTTTAATTTTTCATTTTTTAAATAACTATAAAGAATTACAGAAACACAGAATGTAGGGGTTGGAAGGTACCTCTGGAAATCACCAAGTCCAACACCCCTGCCAGAACAGGACCACCACAGAATCTAGGGCAGGTCACAAAGAAACACATCCAGAAAGGTCTTGAAAGTCTCCAGAGAAGGAGACTCCACAACCTCTCAGGGCAGCCTGTTCCAGTGTTCTGTAACCCTCACAGTAAAGAAGTTTTTCCTCATGTTGAGGTGGAACTTCCTGCACTCTAGTTTACATCCATTGCCCGTTGTTCTGTCACAGGGCATGACTGAAAAGAGACTGGCCCCTCCTTCTTGACACCTGCCTTTCAAATATTTATATATATTAATAAGATCCCATCTCAGTCGTCTCATCTCTAAACAGCCCCAGGACTCTCAGCCTTTCCTCATAAGACAGATGTTCCAGTCCCTCAATCATCCTTGTAGCCCTCTGTTGGACTCTCCCAGGTAAATCCCTGTCCCTCTTGAACTGGGGAGCCCAGAACTGGACACAATACTCCAGATAGGTTCTCACTAGTGTTGTCCCCAAAGTGGGGTCCATTACCAGTGTGCAAGAGGCTTTCTTTGGAAAACATTTGATAAGTGCTGGAGATAGGCCAAAGACTATATTCCTGTTATTTTCTTGCTTACTCTAGCTTCCAAACTTCCCTCCAGACAGAACTCCTGACTGGAGTTTTTACTTGCCAATAGAGTGCTCCATCATAAACTACAGGCCATCACACATCCACAACTAAAGAAATTGTTAGGACATTAAGAAAGTGAGTACCTCTGTGTAATTAATGTTCCACAGTTATCTGAAGATATTTTCCAGATACACTGCCATGCACCCTATGGAGGACTTCTTCATCTACATGAGATGGGAAAGGAGAAGCGAAGCAGGATTCTTTTACTTATTTCTCCAAAGAAAACAGTTGAAATAATTAAGCTTTAAATTATTTTGTTCTTTGCATTTTCTCACTTTCACCTCCACCTTTTAACATCCCACAAAACTTCCAGAACTTTAAAGAGTTTTAAGTTACTCATTCTGTATCATTTTCCTTTTCTCCCTATGATTTAATAGCTGTATTATTCTTTTTGCCATACAGAGCAAAGCATTGTTCCTTCTAAAGTGATAGAATGTAGGGATTTCTAAATTTATTAGGAAACACCTGCTGACAGATGAAGAATTTCCTGAACAGCCACCTCCACTGATACAGTCACTAGTCAGTTCTATTTTTCAGTGTTTTCCTGCGGTTAACACTGTCTAGTGTATTTGTCCCTGGTATGATCTCACAGTAAAAACCCCATCACCTTTCATTTTATTTAACAAAACTGTTCCATGAAGCAATGTAAGTGAAGGAAAGCATAAGCAAAACTTATTCTGCTGCATCTGATTTAATCTAAATTACTCATACCATAAGAAATATTTTTTGATGGTGCTTATATGTGCTATGTGTGAATATATTATGCTAGTAATTATATCTTTGTATATATTATATATATTATATAATTACATTAAGAGACAAGAATGATACTAAAATAAATTAAGGGAGAAGATAGTTGTAGATATTTTTTTTTTTTCTGTTAGATTTTACGACTCTTTTTTAATTAGCTCTTACTTAGAGGTAGCTCGTGGTATCCTTTAGTTTGTCTTCAATTTGTTACTGCAAATCAAATTGATAAATATTTTAAAATCAAGTATGTGTGACCTGACTTAGCTTTGAAGATTGGAAGAAGGAAAGAAATCTAAACTCTGTATGAACATTTAAACCAAAGGTAACTTTCTTACAGCTTTTTGTTCTTATGATAGAATGAGTCCTATATGGTAAGAAATAAAACTATGAGTGTGTTTTAAGATTACACACAATACATTAACATGTCTCAATAATTTTTTCCTCTTTTAAATGTAGCTATGTTCACTGAAGTGACATTTTTTTCTCCTTTTCCTGGTGATTCTGTCTTGAAGCAAATCTTCAAAATTGTTTTGTTTGCTTTTTTCTTAGTACCATTCCAATCTGTAAAGTCTAGATTATGATCATCTTTTTGATGGATGCATGATGAAGGCTTAATGGGTCTTCCTTGGGGCCCTGTTAAATTTGCTTCTTATCTGTCGTGGGAAGTTTCAAGGATTGAGCTTTCTCTCTCACTACAGTTTCAGCCCTTGGCAGATGTAAAAGACCATAATCTTGGACTGAACACAGCTTTGTCAGATGGCAGCACAAAATTCTGCTGTGAAGGGTATGAGTGAGCTCCAGGAAGATGCTAATGTGAAACATAAAAGCTTCATAGGGATATAAAAAGTGACACATGCTGCTTCTAATGTGTGAGACTTGATTAATTTTTCCAGCTCTTGGGAAAACCTGTTACAAAATGCTCCTCCAAAAACGTCTTCTCACTAGAGGTGTAGGTGTTCGGGTTCCTGCTCCCAACTGTTGAACGCTGGTTATATTTATGGATATTTAAAATACTCGCAAATGTTTATCAGTAGAATAAGTATTGGACTCCTTTAGAAAGGCCTTTTTTTTGCAGGTGGCAAATTCGTGAGTAATGCCAAGAAAAGTGTTAGCTGGAAAAGACAAA